GGACCTGCTTGTTTCCAGTTTCAGGGATGTTGAGTCTGGCGATCCCCCTTATCTATCCCAGGCGGACCTGCTTGTTTCCAGTTTCAGGGATGTTGAGTCTGGTGGGCAGAGACACACTGGGGGGCCCTTTGCACTCTGCGGAGTGCTGATTGACCAGGTGCAGGACAGCCGCACAGCAGGAGAGGCCCACACCATTGGTCAGACAGGCTCCGGGAAGGGCCGGGGAGGTGGCGCCCCAGTTCTCTGTTAGGGCTGGAAACAAGGAACCCAGATGATGTGGGTCAGGACGCCCTGAGGGGGTGTGAGCCAGCACCGCTGCTTTGAACAGCCGCCTGAGAGAGTAAGCTCCATAAACAGGAGAGGCAGGCTGGCTGGGAGGTCGGTGGGGGGGGGGGGGCAGGCCCGGGACCCGCCCCCAACCCCCCAGACTTGGTGATTTGCCAGAAAAGCTCCCAGAGCTCATTGAAGGCTGTGGTGCTCACAGTGACCGTTTATCACAGGGTGAGGAGACAGGTAAAGGTCAGCTGAAGGGAGAAGTGGGGAGCAGCAGAGTCCAGTAAAAGTGCCCAACACAGGTGCCATGAAGTCCAGCCGCAGACCAGAGACCCTGCCCTGTGTCACGTGGTCAGGCCACCTGGAATGGCCCAGGGCCCCTGGGCACACAGACATTCCTAGCAGGGTCCCCTGGGGGTTAGGTTCAGAGATTGCCTCCCAGCCAACTACACCTTGGGCTGGGTGCTACCCTGTACCCTGTGTCACCGCACTCCAGCGTGCCTTGGATGACAGCATCTTCTGGCCCCGGTGTACCTCGGACAGTCACGGAACCTTGTTTGTAGTGTTGAGATGTTGGGCGTGACCTGGGTCCCCGTTACAGTGTGGGGGCTGTGTGGTGGAGCTGGTCCTGCAGAGATGTGCACACAGGGTGCCCCGACCGGATGTGCTTGCCTAAGACCAGCAGAGGTGTCCGGGGAGAGGCTGGTCTGCCGATGGTGTCCTGGATGCAGGTGCAGCTCCTCCCAAGGGGCAGAGCTCTGTAGACCTGGGCACTGACACCCACCCTCTCACCGTGGGCGGTGGGGGTCCTGCGGTGGGGTGGGGTCACAGCAAGAGAATACTGTCAATCGTTGCCTGCCAGTGGGGCCACCCAGTGCTTGGAACTGTCCCCTCAGGTAAGATACAAAGGCTTGTACAAAATGCCTGTTCTGCTCAGCCGGGCGGCCCGCGGCCAGAGTTAACGCAGGCTGGCATGTCACAACTGACGTCGGTCATACTAAGACCATGCAGGAAACTCCTGCAGATCAGGAAGAGCCCAGAGCAATGGGGTTCAAGACCCACAGCCAAGGCTGGTGCAGAAGAGGAGCCAGAAGGCTCAGAAGCCCAGGGAGAAATGCTCAAAGTTAGTAGTGCCTGGAAGTCACAATGTCCAGATGGAGATGGGGCAGTGGACAGCAACCCCCCCTTCCCCTGCACCCTTACCCCAAGCCCCTGCTCTCCTGCTGCGTTCTGGAGTTCAAGCTGCCAGATGTCCTGGCATTTAGGGTGTAGTGACCCTGGACCCAGCAACCCTATACAAATGTCCTATTGCAAAGATGTCCTCCCCAGGCCCACAGGGTGATGCACATGCCAGCATTCAAGGCTCTGTTGTCATGGGGGAGGGGGTGGGCAGGGCAGACTCCAGTGCCCCACAAGGGGGAGGTGGGAAGTCAAATGGGGGATGGAGGCCACGGAGTAGGCCGCAGCCCTGGGGACACAGGAACTAGACACAGGGGAACTTGGACTGTCTAAGGGCACCATGCTGAGTCACAAAAATAAAGAAGTATAAGATGGCACTATTTGGGGCACTTGGGTGGCTCAGTCCATTCCAACAATGGCTCAGGTCATGGTCTCACTGCTCAGGAGTTCGAGCACAGCATTGGGCTCTGTGCTGACAGCTTGGAGCCTGGAGCCTACTTCAGATTCTGCCTCTGTCTCTCTGCCCTTCCCCTGCTTGCACTCAGTCTCTCAAATAGAAGATATTAAAAAAATTAAACTAAAAAAAACACAAAACAACAGGACGGACTTTTTACTGAAACTTAAAATGTGTGCACGCCGAACAATTCAAGGTTGCAGGACACTCCAAGAACTGGTGAGTGGTACCTGTCTGAGTAGGTGCCTTTGGGGAGGACAATGAAGATAAAGGAGGTGACAGCAAAGCAGAAGAAAAGGCACCAAGGTGACCCAGCAGACACTGGGGGTCCCTACCTAACACAGGACTTCACGCCTGGGAAGGAAGTCAGTTCCAGGGTGGCGTAAGTCACTCGGATTTCTGTAACTGGCTCTTCATCAAGTGTGTGGGTGCCTGTGCGTGTTTGGGGGGGAAAATCCTGAGAAGCTTTTGGAATATGACAGCGGTGTACATCCTGGAAGGTGTTGGGGGCTGCAATAAATGAACAGAGAACATCGACTCTAATGTGCATGTATACTGGTCCAGACCTACAGACTCCACGGGTCTCTGGCCCACCACACACCATACAGATTTCTGGGGACCTTCCTCTGCCCATCCTCTTTGGAATGTCTTCTTTTTCCTTCTTTCCTGTCTTGAAGACTCCAAGCCAGGCAGGGGTCCCCAGCGGCAGCTGCTTCCAGAAGCCCCCTGCCCTGGGCCTCCCTGGGCTACCAGAGCCGCTGTCCCCAGAGCATCCAAAGACCTGGCACAGTGCGTGCCCAGCATCTTCTCAGGGAAGGCTAGTTCCTGGAAGGGCACAAAAGACCACAAACTGGGTAACAGCTGGAACTCGTCAGAAAGTGACATTTGTTTAGGCAGAAGAAAGCAGTAAAGGGATGCCTGAGTGGCTTAGTCGGTTAAGCATCTGACTCCTGATTTCAGCTCAGGTCACCATCTTGAGGTTTGTGAGCTCGAGCCCTGCCTCTGGCTCCTCCAGGACAGTAGTGAGCCTGCTTGGGATTCTCTCTGCTTTTCTCTCTGCCCCTCCCCGGCTCTGGAGCATGCTCTCAAAATAAATACGTTGAAATAAAAAAGCAGTAAAGTAGCTGCCAGGCGCTCGGGAGTCTCCTCAGTCAGATGGCTTATCAAAGTTGAGGTGTTTCATTCATTTCCTAACAGGAATCTTACTCTGGAGTCATGATTTACTAAATATTTTTTTAAAATTTATTTTGAGAGCGAGAGTGTGAGTGGGGGAGGTGCAGAGGTTTGCATTGGGCTGTGCAGTAATAGCAGAGCCTGATGTGGGGCTCACACCCATGAACTGTGAGTTGGTGACCTGAGCTGAAGAGGACTGAGCCACCCGGGCGTCCCTGAAGACCTAATTTAAATGAGACAAATACACTGAAATCCACCCCGACCCCCCCTTTTGAAGATAATCTTTTGGACTCTGAGGTTTTATTAAACATTCCTCCGCGAAACGATGTGCTAGTGAGCCAAGTAAGTATGAAACCACTTAGAAAGAAAAAAATGTCAGTTAAAACATCATCA